CCTCATTTTTGAAGCGCGTGAGGACCGTTTCCAGCTTCGTCGCGTACTTTGACAAGAATCGCTTGTAAGTCGATAATTGCGCTGACATGATGACTGTTCGAAACAAAGATGTGGCGTGCTATTGTGAGTAGTGCGCGACGTTGACTTGTTTATGCGATTGATCGGAAATGAGTCGTGCCAGCCAATATTCCAAAATGCTGATCAATCGTAAATTGGACTTGTAATGAAACAATGAATGCAAGTTGACTTGTTCTGCGCGGTAGAGCGTGCCAATGTGTCAAAATGCAATATAAATGTTGGACTTGGGCTTGTTTGGCGGAATGCGAATTGAGAACTGCTATTACGAAAAATGAATACAGTTCCGCTTGTTGCAAGAAATTGTTACTAAAGCTTGTGTACCAACCTCTTGTTCTCGGTCCTGGTCCTTAATTGTCCGATGCACCAGTTGAGATAAATTAGTGACGATAAGTGATATTAGGACACGATAAACCTCGAATACCACTTGTGTGAATACCAACAGGCCCAAAACGCCACGCGGGTCTTTACCGAACACAACACCTTAAACTTGGGTAATTAAACCTTTTACTGACTAAATACTAATCAACAAATACACGAGTAAAGCACGCATAAGTGAGCAATATAAAAATACTTAAGTGAAATGATCGTTAAATGAGAACTATGATGTAGAGGTTAGATCAATAAAAACACAAACAAAATGCGCATGCTAAAACTAGGCAATGAAGGTTAAAACGTTAAACTCAAAATAAAGCCTTTTCCGCAGCACTCAAAAGTTTCTAATCTTAGAGCGAACTAGATTGTTAGATACGCTTAAGCCGCACTACTTGAGCTAAGGCATAAGTGACAAATGTGCTGACGCCTCTCTTAGTCGGGATCGTCGCTACCATCTGGCCCAGCTGCCACCTTGAGTCACTCGGACGCGCTGTTTTTAATGGCCTGAAGTAAAGTTTGCAAGTATGAGAGTACGGTATCTTGCAAACCTCGAATATTTACTTGTTTTTTTTCTTGTTGTCGCTTGACGACAGTCTGCGTTGGTCGCAGGTATCCACACTCTATGACTATCTATCAGTTGTCCTCGTATATAACACTTTGAACATCCGTATTCCGAATTCCATCGCGGAGTTCCAAATAAAACTTGTTGCGCCTGCACTTTGACCAAACATACATAGCATGTGTAACAAAAACACTGACCGCCATATCGGCTATCCCGCGGAAAAGCTGGATGCTCACAGTCCATAAGGTATTTCCACACATTATTTCTAGTGGAACCTCAAGCAAATTTCGAAGCTTAGCCTCAAGCCTAGACATATCTGATGTTTACAAAGCTTGCTTCGACTTGGCGATAAAATCTTGCCTGCTGAAAAGAACTTCTAGCATTTTTTGTGTAGGCTTTAAACGCGTGTGCATCATTCCGGCTATCACGGAGTTGAAATATTGATCTGCTTTTGATGGATGTAATCCTTCAACGCGAAGATAGAGTGGCCACATTTCTTTTCTGTACATACTAATCTAATGCTGGAGTTTTCGTGAGTGTATAGGACCCAACTTAGAAATCCTTCTTGGAACGAATCCATCTATAGACAGTGACAGAAGAATTTTCAAGTGCCTTCGGTTGAAGTCCGACGCAGTTTCGATGTTTGCATAATATTCACCAAAAAGCCGTCTGTCGCTCCGATCCGTCACATCAATCTTGGCATAACTCGTGATAAAATAATGAAGAACCTGCTGAATTTACCCTCTCATGAAGGAATCGGTGCATCTCGATTATTTCGTGGAAGTTATCGACAAGGATATCGGTGACTTGCGGAAGAATAATGACTATGTGAACCTCCGATCTTTCCATTCGCTTCGTTCTCTTTATCGGCAATCTTTAATGCGTAGTTTCCTGTTGCACTCGATCATTCGGAAACCTAACCCAAAAATTTTGCAGCTGCGATTAGTGCAGATATATTGTGTTGGACTCATCAACTCCATGCAACCAGAACAAAAGAAATATCTCTGATGATCATAGTCACGCATGATGCTTTCGTTCAGTTCCTTTACATGTTTTTCATACTGAAATCTCTTACTAAGAAGGAACAAATGAGAAGATCGTGTCTCGGATACCGTTATAGGTGGACGGAATCCATAAATAACGGTCATCAATTCCTCCATGCGAGACACTTCTTCCTCAGAAACTCCGAAATGAAGCACGTACATGGCATAATATATCGCTCGTTCAAAAACGGCTGGATAGATGTCATGACTTGTGACCAAAAAGTATCGGTACATACACATTCTGAGTGTCCTGGGGTCGCAAGTTGACTCATTGTGATTGCGGGCATGATTTGATGCAACTTCTTCATCAGCCGCAATGTGTAAAGCACTCGATGGCTCACCATAATAATCTTAGTTGTTCTTGAGATAAGGGCCCGTAGTAAAGCTAGTTCAGTTCAGGTGAACTGAACTGAGGCCTTCATCCAAGGTTCGATAAGGTAGACTGCCTATCACCAGCTTCCCATGTTGTAAGAATGCTAAATGAGATTTCAGCTGACCGTCCGTCTACCTGACGAGGTAGTCTACCTTACTTCAGTCAGTTCACATTCAGTTAGACTACCAATTAATGAAAATAGTGTGCTAATGATGATACGCAGAGAAACTTCTCGTAAGTTGCTCCTGAGTAACTTACAAAACATCATAATTTGCCTAACAATGCAGAAAAACTCAACGGAAAACTGCACACATTTTCTCTCGCTGTGCTTGTGCAGATTCGTCGTTTTTGGCTTTTTTTTTCGCTCCCTTTCACTGTTTCATTTTGTTGTTAATACACCTGTCATCGAAACTAATATAATTTTTGCCTGAAATGATTAAAAAAATTTTTTGACGTGACATCCGTATCTTATTCCGGCTGTCATAATTGTGCTTGATCGCAATTTCCGGGTGCGTGTCAAGAGGCGCGATTATAATTGCCAGATGGACATCAAATAGCGAATAATAAGTGTTTTGCAACATTCTAGAAGTGTTCAAATTTTATAAGGAGATACGTTAAATAGTTTCATGAGTTCCTCAGTCTCGCTACCTCGAAATTTTCAAAACAGCAATTTTGAAGCAAATGTTAACCGTAGACGGATGGTAAGTTAATGCACTTCATTTGATATTTTTGCAGACTTGCGTAGTACTAAACTAAAGTCTTGCGTTGATGGTAGCCGGAGAAATCGCGCCTCTTGACCGTCTCGAGCATCGGGTGCTCATCGCTTAAGTGTGCAATCTCCTGACATAGGGCCGTTAGGTGATGTCTGGTCTTGATGAGGAACTAGATACTTTTTGAAAGTTTGAAGCGGATTTCGTGTCACAATTATCTGGTCATTTGAACCCGAGCTGCTATTATTTCCTCCATTTTATGACTTTGTTTTTGCACTCCATTTTGCAGGAGATTCTGTTTTCTGTTTTTTGAATCTTCCACTAGGACGGTTCCCAACTATTCAACACTTTGTTTTTTTATTGCGAATTCCTTTCAAAACGCAAAAGTCAATCACCTATCTATATAGGTTTTCTTTTCAGAGTTGAATATCATAGATAGCGATTGCAATCCTACAACTATCATGTTCGGAACAAATTCGACATGAAAATGAGGAAGGCGATGAAGAGGCTGATGGGATGAAGAGAAAGCGGGAGATAAAGGTTAGCAGGTTTTTGGAATTGCGTTCTAGGTTGGTTTTTTGAGCTTTTTCATTTATTTTCGTGCGGTTGTCGATAGCGGCATTATATCTGATTCTCAGTTGTTTTGGTATGATTGTTCTTTCTTGAATTTGCATGCTAATTTTTTTTACACGAGCTCTTTTTCCTGGAGAAGAAGTTGGTCAGGAAACAGGTTTTTTTGGTACAAAAGTATTCAATGCCTTATTCTTTTTTCTTGGAACATTGCTGCCACACTTAGGCCCGTATGCACGTACATACCCGCGGGGAGGGGAGGTCTGAGAGGGGAAGCGTCATATCTCGCTAGTCTATGTATCTTTCTTCTTCTTTCTCTGTCTTGGTTTTGAAGGTTCTCATACACTGATACTTGCGCATAACAGATGCCAGGTTACTACCATACAAGATTAGATATTAACTATTTCGTCTGATCCCCTGGGGATCCCCAGGGGATCACCTCACATTTTCAAAGTTATTTATCTTTCTGAAAACTCGATGAAAATGTTCTAAAATTGCACTGTGTATATACTACACCACTGCTAAACATGTTTATGGTAGAAATGAGTGAAATCTCAAGATATCAAAATCTTCGATGAACCGCTGCTCGCGAGCCAGGGATTATCGAAAAAATCAAAATCTTCAGATTCAATTTCTTCTGTCGAGAACATGCTCAGCAGTATTGTAGTATATCTTCGGTACAATTTTGCAGCGTTTTCATTCATTTTTCAGAAAGATAAACGACTTTGAAAATGTGAGATGATCCCCTGGGGATATCCAGGGGATCGGAAGAAATGGTGAATATTTAATTTTGTATAGCAGTAACCTGGCATCTATTATGCGCAGGTATAAGGGTATGAGAACCCTCATAAGCACGATAGAGAAGAAAGAAGAAAAATGTCTAGAGCAGTGAGATGTGGCGCTTCCCCTCTCAGATCCCCTCCCCTCCCGGCGGGGATGTACGTGCATACGGGCCTTAGCTGGTTCAAACGATTCATCTCTTTCACCCCTTTCGCTATTGGTCAATTCAGTGTTCAGACCAAAAGTGAATGGCGAAACAAACAAACCGGTTGAAGCAGATAAATGGCACCTAACTACCTTAGTGGTCTGCGCTGCGTGTACGCGCTGTCACAAAGAAACTTTTCCTCCTTCGATTGATTTTGATTTCGAAAAATTTTACATTTCTACTGTCTGTTACCTTCCAAAATCTTTCGCAAGAACGATGGCTTTAGTTTTTCCGTTCTCTTCGGACTCATCTTTCGGAGTTCTATTTGATGAATATGCGCATATGATGTGTTCCAGAGTTTTTTTCATGGATATCTCTCCCTATACTCCGCGCCCCAAATGGACTCTGCTGGCACATATTTGGTTGGTTGGAAATCCACCCGTGCTAGCACAGCTGTGGTCTTAGGTGAGTATTCTTTGATATAGTCTCATTGTCAATTAGCGTCTATCTGCAGCTATGTTTCTCCATCGGTGCCGTTTAGGCTCATCTTGGCAATGATTCTACTGTTGAAAACACGGAGTCAATGTTCTTTATGCAATTTTTCGTCTCTTTCTGCACACCCATTTCTCACAAGCTTTATGCAGGTGCGTTGTTTTTTGTTCCATAATTCAGATGTTTCGATATGTGGTCGTCACATTGGATGCCAGGTTACTGCCGTACAAGATTAGATTTTCACTGCTTTGTGTGATTCCCTGAGGATGTATGGCAGTACCCTGGCAACCGTTATGCGCAGGTATCACGGTATGAGAACCATTATATTGCAGAGAAAGAAAAAAGAAGAAAGATGTGCAGAGCAGCGAGATATAATGCAGAGCAGCGAGCGATCGCAAAGCTCTTTGGAGAGACTAAGAAGAAACCGAAGAAGAATGCTAACGCGAAATCCAACGAAGTGGAAGGCGAGGAAAGCAACGTTGGTTTACCTTATGAACTTGTGCAAAATGCTAAAGTTTCTATTCATTAAAGTTGTTCATGCCAGAGAAGGGGGGGGGGGGGGGGGAAGAGGTTTCATAGTATCTTGATCTTGGCAGTTATGATGATTATCACTCAGCGTCCATCCTTGCCTTCCGTGTTTTTATACTCCTTTTCATTCAAGTCGCATCCATCATTTTAGTCATCGAAGTAATGCTAAAGGTGTACACAATTGTGGATTTGGAGTAATTTTGTGGGAACGCTTTCCAAAATAGGACATCTAATTTGGGGCATTGACGCCGTACCTAGTTGGGAAAGGGCAACAGCGTAGATCATAGATCTGCTTGCCTATATCCTAATGCATACATGAGGTGACCAGTCTCTCTGCGTTGAAACGAAGTTCTTACTTGTTTGAGTAGCCATTTTGAAAAACTTCTTCTGCAGACAGAAGTGCTATTTCATTTGATTATTTTCATTTTCCAAAACTCAGCGCAGTTTCCCTAAGAAAAGAATGTTTTCTCTTCTAGAGCGACCAACTCGTTGCCTGACCAAGAAAAAAAAGGTGGAAAAAATAAAGTTCTTACAAATTCTTTCTATTTGTCATGCCATGCTTTGTGGTATATTGACTAATTATTAGGTAATGCAACCTGTAAATTTCGCACTATACCAATGACTGATCATTTGACTACTACTGTTCATTAAAAAGTGTCTTGCAGCATATCACCATTGTCGATCTTCCTGAAGATGTTCTTCTGAAGATTTTCATGTATCTACGTCTATCATGCTTCGTTGCCCAACCCGAACGATATTCGTATGAGAGCATATGTTTTTGGTGGTAGCAAAAAGCTTGCAACAAGAGTGAGTGACTTAAACCTTATGACAGCGTTAATGAAGACATCTTCGCCTAATTTCAGGATCTATATCGGCTGCGAGTTGTTTGCAAGAGATTCAACAATATCATGTGCGATTATCACGCTAGTTTCCCTAAACCTCCCATCGGGTTAAGGCTGCAGGTAGTTAACTATTATGAAAAAAGTTTTGATTCCATTTTTCCATCTCATCTCAGGCAGCCGTAAATCGTGATCGCACTTACGGTGGAGCTGTTGTCGCCTAAATTTACGGCGATTGTGGAAGACGTTACTTTGCAAAGTTTGTGTACATGCAAGATGTTCCAGCAGCAATATTGTGAGTATATTTTTTACCTCAACTGTATAGCCAACTTATGCGTAGTTTTGTTTTATTAGTTATCGAAACATTTTTTAGTCCCGGACAAATCTGCACATTCCTTGTGATCAAAAGTCTTGTACTCACAGAAGATCTGATAGATATGCTATTACAGCTTGATCTTTCTAAGGTTGTTGTCATATGGCAAGCGATCACAATTTTCTTTCTGAGACAATGATTTATAGGTGGAGGAACTGTTTTGGTATGATATTCGAGGATCACAAGTGAAAAATCTGATTGAGAAAATGCAACAACTTTTACGCAAAATGACATCGCTAGTCAGTGCGGAGTTCTATGCAACGGATGATTATTTTGATCCAACGACAATGTTTCCAAATACGGATTGCTACTGGACGGAACTTGGTTTGGAGAAGTGAGTCAAAATATTCTTAACAGCCTTTGCGTCTATTCGACCCCGCTGCGAATGTTGGATTTTGTCACTTTCTATTTAGCAGTTGGCCTTCTTTACCAAAATGGCTCAAGTACCTTAAAGAAACCTGCTATTTTTTTTGTTTCGCGAGATGAGACGGGATAATTTTGTTGAGAATCACTCTTTTTTAACTTCCTTTCCTCTCGGTTCACCCAAATTAAAGGTGGATTTTGGTCTTTGTAATAGGGGGGCTCTTAACTGAGCAACAGGCTAAATCCCGCTGCCAAAGATGAATTACGAAGGGGAAAATCGCTTCACAGGGTAGAATTGGCTAAGCTCCGATCAGCGTGGGGTCTGAAGATAATGGTTCGAAAATGGGCGTCAGGGTAAATAGAAACGTCTAAATTCTGACAAGCGTAATGAAGGGTGAATTTGCGGCAGTTGTGGATACACCAAGCCTTTTGGACTTGTTATCTTCAGAGTTATTCCGGACCACTCACGTTGACGGGCGGAGCCACCTTGGCCCCTTTATCTTTGGGAGCGATTGTCTCGCTTCAAAATTGTTTTTGCAGCCTGATTTAGAAGATTATTTAGGAACCCGCTAACAAACATCAGAATCTTACCATCTAATTTGAATGGACGATACCTTCAAGCCCTTTATGTCCGCCTCTTAGGGCCGCATGTGCTAACATCCCTGCCGGAGAAGGGATCGTAGCTTACAAAGAAAGCTTCATATCCTGAAGCCTCCGCACTTCTGTATTTCACCCTGTCTACTCATTCGTATGTATTCCTACCATCCTTCACTATGAAACATATTGAACAGGAGCGAGAAGCTGTACAAGGCGCATTTTCTAGCATTTTGTATGATCCCTGATGATCCCCGGCGGCCGACAGTCTTTTCTTCAAAGTCATTTTTCTTTCTTCAAAGTTAGCGAAAACATTTCAAAGTTGTACTGTTGATCTAGGTCAAAGGTGCTAAGCGTGTTGTTGATAAGAACAAATGATGTATTTGAGTTATGAAATCTGCAATGAACCACAGGTCGGAAGTTGGGGTTTACCGAAAAATTCGATATTTCAAAAACTCATTGTTCTTATCAGCATAGATAATCAGTACAACTTTGACACGTTTTCGTTGACCTGAAGAGAAAAGTGACTCTGAAGAAAAGACAGTCGACCACCGGGGATCATCAGGGGATCATACAAAACGCTAGAAAATGAGGCTTGCACAGCTTCTCTCCTGTTCAATATGTTTATAGGGAAGGATGGTAGGAACACTTACGGATGGACAGACAGCATGAAATCCGGAAGTTCTGAGCTTCAGAATATGAAGACTACAATTTAAGATGCGATCCCCTCCCTGGCGGGGATGTTGATGCATGCGGCCCATAGTCCTCTACCCCAGATCCCCTCCCCTTCCCACTCCCGGGGATATACGTGCATGCGACCTAAGAATGAGTTTGGCTAGCCAAAACATGACAGCTCTTTTTTCTTAACTTTTACGCTGGACATATGATAGCTGATTTCACAACGAACATGTACATCGTTTGTTGTTGACACTGTTTATCGTCAATTCAATCTAACGAATGCCTTTTAGGTGTCTTGGAAGAAACTGTATACGCGATTTGAGAATCGGTTATGATTTTTCGTTGTTCGGCCTACTTTTGGTGTTACAAGGAACGTTATTTGTTTGACTGTTCGAAGATGGTTCTGACTCTCACGGTACTGGAGACGATGTATCATTATTGGAATTACGAAATTAGGGCAAGTCTGAATGCAGGTCCTTATAGCGATCAGTGTTTTTTCTTGTGTGCGAAGCAGTTGTTTTTATAGAGCTATCAACATCTACGAGGTATTGAGACAAGCAGGTGCCCTTCATGCAGGTAATCACACCTGTTCACACTCTGGAGTTCATCAGAGCTCGGTGAATGCCTAAGTAGCCGTGTCCGCGTAGGAACTCAATTTGCTCACCGAATTTGATAATAAAGCTCTTATCAAGAATTCTTCCCTTTGCATTACCTTCATTTCTTGTCCTTTTGTTAATACCTATGCGATTCGTCCGAATTTGCTTGACTGAAAGGTTATCAGTGGCTTCTGTGCAAAACTTTCACGGGGAGTGGTTAAACAAGAGGCAGAAGCTCAGCGATGTCTTACAAGGAAAGGAAGGTTGGTCGAAGTGGCCTTTCGAAATAAGGTTTATATTGCCTTGTAGAGCTTGAAACGCTGATTCCAAATCTACCTTTGCTATCTGCTGCGGGCTCCCGGGCGAGGAGTTATGAAGGTTTTTGTGAGTAAAAATCTGAATGCGAAAATAGGGTATCAGTCGTAACCTTTTCAATGTTCAAATGGGCAGCAGCGATTTGGTACATTTGAATCAAGAATATTTGTTGCACCGAGTGACCCGACTACCAATTTAGCCCTATGAAAAATGTTACGACTGATTTTAGCCTACTCTTGCATTCAAATTTTACTCGCAAAAACCTTCAGAACTCCTCGCCCGGAAGCCCGCAGCAGATAGCAAAGGTAGATTTGGAATCAGCGTTTCAAGCTCTACAAGGCAATATAAACCTCATTTCGATAGGCCACTTCGACCAACCTTTCTTCCCTTGGTTAAATCCGTGCACTGCATCACTAGGAGTCAAGAGATTCAAATGTTTTCAAAACAGGTGGAGTCCTTGAACAGGATATGAAGTTTAAGATGAAGCCCGGACTTGTAAAATATATGGTAGACTGTTAAAGCATCTCGTCCATTATGCTGTGTTTTGAGTAGCTCAAAATAGGAGGGGAGGGGGTAGCTAAATCTTGAAAGACGAAGAAGATAATGCGAACAGGCGATCACGTAGTGCAACTAGTTGCTATCTTTTTCATTTCGTGTATGTGAAAGGCGCTCGGCAATCGAGTATTAAGGGACTAGATTACTCCACAATAGTAAGGCTTCTAGTCGCTCGCGATATGACCGCCGTCCTGAGGAGACAGTGGGAATTCGGTTGAGTAGTACGACAGATAATGCAAACAATTGTTTGGCGTTTTCGAAGGCAATTGCATATGAAAATTAACAAAGAGCTTGAATATAGAGAGATGATCAATACCACCAGAAAGATGCGTTAGTAATGACCCGTTAACAAATCCTGTGCCCACAAAATCGCAAGAACTGACTATTAGGCCATGTTTTACTTTTGACCTTCCAACAATGCGCTTGAACTCACTTCTCTAGAAGGATTTTCCTATATACGAGCTCTTAGAGCTATCATTCATTGGAATCAGCCTAGTGGAAGTTACACCATATTCTGACAAGTTTAAACCACTTTTTTCATTTCTAGTAGTAGAACAATTGAATGGGGTGAATTACGAGTTCTGACTCGTACAATACGTGGTCTTCTCGAGAATGATTACGTATAAATGAACGATATGGATCAATGGCTCGACTGAAGGCAAGCTGACTCGTCGAAGCCTCAACTGAAATTTTTTTCAGTTGAGATCGACTGAAGCAGCTTTACTACGGGCCAAGGTGAAATTCAGATCTTTCAGTGGGTATCATACCTTGATTTTCCATATTAGAGTTTTCAATGAAATCTCTGTTTTGCTGTTCGCGCCTATGCAGTTCGGCAACATGTGCCGCATCCACTCGCCTTTGATGACTTCGTTGAGTCATGTACTCATTTACTGCTTCTAACAATAAGAATGTGTGATGATAATACGTCGAGGTCAATTAACTCTGGAAATACCTCCGTAGGCTCGAACGCTTCGTGGTCTAATTTCGAACATTATGCTTCAAGGATGAGCGAACGTCACAAAGTTGCTCTCCAAAAATTGAGGTCAAAATAAGGTGGAATGGTGGACGTTGTCAGAAATTTGAAGTCAAGAATTCTCTGCAATTTTATAAAACTTGAAATGAGTCAGTGCAGGTCAAAGCAGTATTGCTCGGAAAAGTGTTCAAATCATGCTGATTGTGGGATTCGGAATTAGAATTGGAGTGTATGGGACCCGTCATATTTCGCGGAAGAAAAGTCCAAAAAGCCCGAACATCAAAAATCCGAAAAAAGCCCGACAAAACCCGAAAGCGCGGGAATGCAGATCGAACTTTTGGTAGACTCCTGACATTATTTTGATGTGCAGACGACAGTAAATGAAACAAAAGCCAGCCTTGCTTTTTTGCCTTTTTGCCCAGTTCTTTTGGAAATCTTTTCAGCTAATTTGAAGCTAACATCTGACAGCAGAAATGAGAAAGATCAATGCATAAGTGAACGCCAAAGTGTATGGAATATCCCGTTTAGAGTATAAAAAACAAACTGTAGGTTTTTTAATCTGAAAGCGAGTCACCCACCCCTTCAGTATAGTGAACCTTCCAATCAGACTTGGAATATTTGTGCAGTATAAATCCTCTTCAGTGGCTTTGTGGATTGTCACTCTAAATGAAGAAACATGAGTAAAGTCAGTAAATGTGTAAAGTGTGAGGGTTTTTCAACTTTTTTTCAACGAAGGCTGTGCAATAGTCAAACTGTTGTATTAGCGAAGTGAAGAAGTTGATATATCCGTGTACAAGGTGCTGCAGCGTTCAAGCGGAATTAGGCTGTAACAGTCGTACCGACTTCTACGCTTGCTGGAGAAGGTAGACCGCTCGCTTGCTGTTAGGGTAATTCTTTTGATTTTTGATTTTTTGATTAATATTTTGCAGCTTATCTCAATACCAGTGAACAAACGAACAGTGAACATACAAGTGAACAAACGCAAATTTGAATAGGTTTTGAGTTTTTCATTGTTTCGATAGTCGCCATAAGACGGTTGGCTACATCTTTGCGCAAAAATCTTGTCAAATGCTCGGGTCAAACCTCGGCAAATTGACCATTTTCGCAACCCAGTTTTTGGCGCCGTTTATATAAATTAGTAGACTTTTAATCGCGTTTTTGAGCTCAAGTCCATGGCTTGCACATTTACTTGCCAAACTCATCTAAGACTCTGCAAATAGTGGAAACACGGATCCAATTTTGCGGGCCAGAAGCCAAGTGGATCCATTTGATGGAAAAATGGATCCGTTGTGCAACAAAATGCATACACGAACATGGCCAACATCTTTCGAACTGAAAATTTCAAACATAACCTTGCAGGGTCGCTTTTCTGCGGCCGTATAAAATCTTAATTGCGCATTGATTGCAGAACTTCTGCTGCTCGAACAAAGACTTAGTATTTGGTAGCAGAGAAATAAATCATTTTCTTTTTCCAGCGGTGTAAAAAATATTTCAAAAAACGCAAGTTTCCGTTTCCTAAGGGAACGAAAAAGAATTTGTTTTTCCACTTTCTTCTAGCAGAAAACTCAATTCCTTGTTGAGTAGATGGCTTCTCAGTTCAACAAAAGTGATTGTACAAAAGGGGGCGGCGAATTCGCATTTGGAAGTACTTGAGGCCCGAAATGTCCCGGATACCTGAACGTAACTGGTGGAATTTCATATTGCGCAAAAACTGGTAGAGGTATGTGGCGCGCGCATATAGGCGCGCCCTCGGGATGGGCATGTGGGTGGCCGGCAGATGCTCATCATATCTGAGCACACTTACCTTCTTATTGTTGCTGGCCACTGCTAGTTGTCCGCCCTCACGCCGCAATAACACTAAATGAAAATGACTCGCACATAGAAATGATGGCAAGTTAGTTTAACGTGTTAATGGTACGCCGCCCACCCGCTTGAGGGGATGGGCCGCCGCTGGTCAAATCAAGGTCCGCCGCTCGCACGCTCGGTAGCGAGGGTACGCCGCTCGTCCGCAAGAAAGCCACGCCCACAAATCAAAGCCCGCCGCTCGCCCGGAAAGCCGTTAAGGCCCGCCGCTCGCCCGCGTTATTGTCTGAGTACTTAAAGAACTGTCGTATGTGGATCATAGTATGGCCCATGAACCCAAGAAGGGAGGATGAGGCTATCATTGAGACATTGCGGATATGCAAGAAGTACCTCGAAAAAGGAGGAAAGATTGCATCCGGGTAGCCGCCACTATCTTTCAAGAAGATTGGTGTGTGGAAAACGAATTCAAAAGTGTGGACGGTGATTGAAAATCAGTACTGAGAAAATGGGCAAACCCAAATCAGTTGTTCACGTTGGATCCCTCAAGGACAGAAGATAGGGAACGTGAACAGAGAAGCAGATGGACCCCAAAATTCTTTTCAGGTATGCGACACGCATTTCAGGGATGGATATGCGCGAAACCTCTACAACGACATCCGCAGGAGAGTTCCCGGTGCAAAGCTCAGCAAGCTGCAGCAGCCGCCGAGGACGTCGGCTCCCCGGAGGGGGGGATGTCAGAGGGCGCCGATCAGCGACCTACCGATCTTCAGTGGCGGGAAGAAAAGCCCGCGCTGACCCCTTCGGCAGGGTATAAATACCGAAAGTCAGGGGGAGGTCTCAGTCCGAGCTGAGGAAGCGCTAACGGGAGCTATCTCCGTCGAAGAGAGGCGGATCTCCCTCTTAGATAGAAAGTAACTAGTAAGCCTGCCGAAGTGGTCAAGAGGGTAAAGCCCGTCGTTTCGTTGTTGAGCCTTGTTCAAGTTACGCATTATTGTTTCTTGTTGTTCGTTGCCGTTTTTCTGAGATAAACTATTAGTCGTCCAATCCGTGTTGTCTATCGAATCCGGTTAAAACCGTTATACCACTAGACATCCCCGGTTACACATTGTCTCAAGAAAGAATTAAGCAAGAGTACAAAATCTGGACTAGTTAGTGATGGAAGCATGTTTGCTGACAATAATCGTACCATATCGGCTTTCGGTAGAGAGAACAATAACAAATAAAAAAGCAGTTAGATTATCGTTTCCCAAGCTTTCGAATCATATATAAAAGTTCAAAAGAGACCTTCTTGGTTTGAAAAGACAATCACCCACATTTGGCTGATATTGTAGCTAGATAAAACTACTCGTATCTCGCTTTACAGAAAAGTTAGGAAAAAAGAGACGGTCTATGTCGATTCCTCGTGTTCTTAGCTATCCGTAGAACTGCAAGAGCTTGAAAAGAACTGGAAGGAACTGGAAGAGACGAGGTACATAGTGATCCAGGAATG